CATCATTGTAATTACATATAAAACTTCGTCTATACTCTAATAAAAAGTTCTCCAGACCAAAGAGGTCACCTTAATACTAAAAAAAAAATATATATATTATATATTATTTTTAGCAATTTACCTACTAATGCTTGGGCTGTATGTTTTGGATTATTTGTTTTATAATATTCATACCTATCAACAAGTGCTTTACCAAAAAGATAATAACAAGTTATAACTTTTTGATTTGTAATTTCATTTTGAATTTCTTTATAGATTATATTATTATACAAATTAACAAAATTATTTGCATTTTCTTTTCTAATTACAGGGGCTTGGAGTCTTAGGTTCAGTAGATAATTATAAGATCTTTTAATACATATGATTCTTTCTTAGCCTGCTTTTGTTTCTTACTTGATAGTTTATTTGTAGATTCACCAATATGCTTTTTCTGGGGGCTATCCTTATATATGGAAAAATCTTTAAATATTCTATTAAATTGATATCTTGACTCCCAGACTATAATTTTTACTTCCTTATTATAATCGGTTCTTGAACACTTTGAATATTTTTTAATAAAAATCACGATGGAATATATGAGAACAAGTAAGTATAGTAAATGGTTTTTTATTTCATACAAAAAAAGTTCTTGATTACATAATGTGCATATCTAGTTCAGAAACATTAATATTACTATCGATTTTTTCAGAAGATAAATTTTTAAGAATATTTAATGCAAGTGTTTCAAGAGATGATATATTAGCAGATATATTCAAGGAATTTGGCAAAGTTTCACTAGCCATACTACTTAATTTGAATGAGATTTAATTTTTAAAACTTGGAAAGATAAGTATTATCATTTTATATATGCACTTTCACATCTAAAAAAATTAATTTCAGATATTACGAAAACTAATTTCGGATTTGCTAATCCATTTATTTAGTATGAGCCACTCAATTCTGAATATTTGAATATCCTACTACAGTATTTTTTAAATTTATTCTTTACTATAACAAAATTAGTTTTTGGATCATACGTATGTTCATATTTATTTGGATTAGTTAATTGTAAGTACTGGTTGGATTATCTGTGAATTTATTCATCATTTTACATTACATCAGAAAAATTTAAAACCTGATTATGATTGGTTGCAAGTAGTTAATCGATTATATTGATTAATTTTAAGCGGTAATAATTGATTTAAATCAAAATCGACAATAGTCGATTATGTTTAAAAGCGATTAAATTAAATCGATTATAATTGGTTAGTTTTTATTATAATCAATAAAAATCTTTATCATATGTAATCGGCGGGGTGATAATAATCGATTTAAAATCATTGGATTTTAATCGACTATAATCAGTTTTCAAAATTTCTTAATGTATATATAGATATTAATTTTCGGTTCAATTTTTTGTTATACCAATATAGATGTAACAGCTAAGTACTTTGTATTCACTGAAGATGGGAAAATTATTTTATTTTTTCCTTTTTCTCAGAAATTTTTTAGTTTGTTTTACATATGATTTCGCTTTTTCAACTCCCATTATAATGTGATGTGCTTATTTATATATTAGTGAGGATGTGAGAAATAAGTTTGACTCTGGAATGAGTCTTAATCTTGCAATGTCTTTACTTAGGACCCTTTTTATAACTATGGCTTTTATATGTATGTGTACTTTCTGACTCCAAACTGGATGAAAAAAGTGTTTGAATTAGAAGTATCAGAATCAGAGTGAATGAATTTAATTCTGGCTTAATTCATCAATTAAATTATATGGTTTAATTATTTATTATTTTGAGTATATTATATACTATATTTAGTCGAAAAAATAATCAATGTTTATTTATTTATTCCCTATTAGGATCAATCCACAAGTAAGTTCTCATTTATGTATAAAAGAAAAAGAAATAAAACTTAATTTGTAGTTATATAGTTCAATGGCTTCGTTTATTATATCCAAATCATTTGGTCATATAGAACTGTAAAAAAGTGATAATTTGTAAAGAAATACATACTGATACTAAATAATATTAAGATTATTCGTGATTGTAACCAAAATTGACCAAAAGTTTTGCTTTATTAACTATGCAACAAAAAAAAAAAATAATAGCACTGTTTATGTATATGACTTTTTTGTTAATAAAAACTATATTTTTATGTTTGAAGAGACTACATGAAATTATAATAACTATGGCTCAATTACAGTGTAAGTAAAACCGTCCAATCCTTCAACCAATTGCTGTTTCTGATTTTTAATGCACAAATTTCGACACCATTTTGAAACAATGAATAGTTACTAATCCACGAAATAAAGAAATTTCCAGCTACTAAGCGTGAAGGAGTATTGTTGAGAGTATCTCTGAGAGTAATACCATTCGGAATCGGAATTTGGTTACCGTTGCTGTCAACAAAATAAATCCTTGCGATATTCGTATCCATCCTTTTAACTCTTATATGGATGTTGTTGTTAAAAGTAACAACGTATATATTGTCGTTTTTATATGAAAAAAAACTACGAAACCTCATTTCGTTATAAAAGTTGTTGACAGGGTTTGTAATCATTTTGTATATTAAAAGGTCTTAGGAAGATTTTTTTTGCTTATATGCAAACTTTTATATGGAAGAAATAGTTTCTTATATAGTTGCGTGTAGACCACAACCAGTTACTCATGAGACGACTTTTATCTGATTGGCTGATGTAAATCAATTGCCTGGTAACTTATTTATATACTTTAAAGTACGTACTTTTTGGAAACGTAACGGTTTACTAACAAAAAAAACTGTTGTAAAAGCAAATTTTAGCTCTAAATGAATGTAGATATTCACTGTTAAAATTAATCCAAAACTAGGATTTCCTAATTTATAGTTAGTGGCGAAATGTGGTTAACAAGTTCTACTAAAAAAGTTTAAAATGAAAATTATTAAATTTAAATACTGTATATTATATAAATTTATTAAACGAATATTGAAAAAATAAATCTATTTTCTAAAATTATCATTATTAAGCCACGTAAACTAATAAAATTGGTTCTCATAACCCAGCCAGGTCACTTTTTTTGAAAAGTTAAAAATTTTTGTTATAATAAAATTTTTTTTGAAAAAAAAATTTATAAAAATTTTTATATTAAAAAAATTTTTAAATATAACATTTTTTGTAGCTAGCTGGGTCCTATTTGCTTGTCCTATATTATGAGAACCAACTAATTTAATTTGCGTAGCCTTACTGCTATTGGTGATAGTTTTATTTTAAATAATATATGGATATATTTTATAAAATTTTTTAACTTACTGGAATGGAATCAAGGGGTTCGAGATAGAGGTGCAACTTATATTCGGACCACGATAAAGATATTTTTTTGTTATATTGGTATTGCTTTGTATAGTCAAGCTATTTAATTAATTAATAGACAATTTGATATACAAAATATTACTTCTCTATTAGCAAATTACTAGACAATAATTATAATTTATTTATATAATAGAAAGAGTATAGTGGGCTTTAATTTTGATTGGATGATCGGATGAAATGTTACACAATATGTTCACATATTAGAGTAACATTTCACAGGCACAAAAGTGGATTGTAGACCACGAGTATGAATTGTAGAAGGTTAAGACGAAAAAAATTTAAAAGTAGAGGCTTCGTTTTAAATACTATTAATAATTTGGTAATCCACGAAGTAATTCAGAAGTATGTTTAGACGTTTAAGTCTAGCCTACATATACAATAGTCAATTAAACTTGGCAATTTAAGCTGCCTTTTATTTGTGAAATCTTATTCTTCGTGATCACAACTAATAAAACAACTTGACTATAATATAATATTAGCTAGTAATATGAAATTGTGATTTATAAGACTTAAAGATTTAATAAGAAGAGTTAATACAAATTAGTGGCACTTTTTAATTATTAAATAAATTAAAAGATTAGTTTGATGTTAGAGCAGAGATGAAGTTTAAGATTGCTTTATTTATTTTTTATTATATAGTATTCTAGAATAGGTTAAATCACATTTCTTGTTTTATTCTATTTAATTTTTATTTTCTTTTTTCTTTTTTATTTATAGTAAGTACTGTACATATAGTCAGTATTGTCATGAGACACAAACATGGACAGTAAATAGTTCAGGATGGGATGTCCATGGATATGTCTGTTCAAAATTTTTTGTCCCAAACATCCTGCCAATTTACACGTAATTATCAGCCAATAAAATTATTTGATATGTGTGTAAATAGTGCTCGGCAAAATTAAACTTTTTTTTTTAGTCAAATACATGTAACAATCTGACTTTTAAAGTAATATGATAATATGGCAAAATCTTAATCTAATAAATTGTTTTACATAACTTTTATTAGTGTTAAATATTTATTATAGCTTTAAATATTTATTATATGTATAGTGTTAAATATTTATTATATACAGTAGTATTAAATATATATACTATGTAAATTCTGATTTACAATTTTATAAATTTTTACAAAATAGCTATTTAAACTTATAGACCTTATTATTAAGGTGACAGATTCTTTTACTTCAATGTTCAGACAATTTCAGATTAAGAGATAGCATGTTTGGATTAGAAAGATCTGTATATACTATTTAGATTGTATGCATCAGTAACATACTTCTAATGTTTTGAATATCATTATTAAGACAATAGGTTTACTATTACTTTGAGAAATCAGATGATTTTAGATAACTAGAAGGTAGTATATTCAGATTAGAAAGATTTGTATTATATTATTTGAATTCGGTAACAGAGAATTCTAATATTGGAATATCTACTTTGAGCAAAAGGCAATTTCAAATGACTAGGAGTAGCATGTTCAGATTAGAAAGGTCTGTATTATACTATTGGGTTTCAGTAGAATTCTGATATTGTAATTGTATGATAGTAATATTAGCAGATTTAACAATTTTCTTTTTTCAGTTTTCCAGGTAATACTTTGATACTGGGTTCGTATTAATTTGACAACTAGGAGGTAGTACATTCGGATTAGAATTCGGTGATAAAGAATTCTAATATTGAAATATCTACTTTAAGCAAAAGACAATTTCAAACAACTAAAAGTAGCACGTTTAGATTAGAAAGGTCTGTATTATACTATTGGGTTTCAATAATATAGAATTCTGATATTGTAATTGTATGAAAGTAATATTAGCAGATTTAACAATTTTCTTTTTTCAGTTTTTCAGACAATACTTTGACATTGGGTTCATATTAACTTGACGACTAGAAGGTAGTATATTCAGATTAGAAAGATCTGTATTATACTATTTGAATTCAGTAATAAAGAATTCTAACATTGGAATATCTACTTCAAGCATAAAACAATTTCAAATGACTAGAAGTAGTGCATTCAGATTAGAAAGATCTGTGTTATACTATTGGGTTTCAGTAATATAGAATTCTGATATTGTGATTGTATAAAAGTAATATTAGCGAATTTAACAATTTTCTTTTTTTAGTTTTCTAGATAATACTTTAACATTGGGTTTATATTAACTTTTAGCTAAGTTAAACTATTTTTAAAAGAGGTTGACAGGTATATGATTCTTTATATGCATTGCAGGTTCAACATATTTTGCATATTCAGAGAATACATTTAGTACTTATTTATAATCTATATGTATTATTTTCTAATATTTAAAAAGCTAATATTAGCTACTTTTTAATAACCTTCTAGTATTAGGATCGTGTTTCTTTATTGGCAGTTTTGTTCTTCTTAAGGAAGGCAAACTTAAACAACAGTTTAGTTTAGCTATTACACAAACAAGTTCTAGATTGATGACTTTATCACTCATTGCCTTAATTCTTTATTTTCTTTAATCAAATAAGTTAAAGCAAACCCATATCAACATGGCAGACTAATAAAACTAATGCATACCAGGTCTTTGGTGATATATTTAGAAAATTATTGCGATCTGAAGTAGATAATTTGCATCAATTCTATGTACTAATTGATATAGTTGCTAATAATGTTATTTTAAAAAGCTTATTTTGATTAAAACTATTTTACTTCTTAATTATTATGCAAATTATGGTTAATTTTTTAATGTTTCTCAAATTTGTTGCTTTATTGATATTTAGATAGCGGAACTGGGCATTTGAGCTAATAAGTAATATTTTAATATATTGTTTAACAATTGTGATATAAGTGTTATAATTATTTCTATAATTAAATTAATATTGTTTTATTATATATAGTATTGAGCTTTATGAATATTTATTAAAGCTAGATTAAAAAAATTTAATGAATTTGTTAAGCTTATTAGGAAAATTGAATTATTAAAATAAAGCAGAATAAATATACAATATGTCTATTGTTTTATAAGTAACATATATATATATATATTAATATTGCCAATTTGTATTAGATATAATATATAAGTATAAAATACTTATATATTTTGAGATATGGCGACTTAATATAGTGGTCTAGTTATCACCCTCTTCAAGTAGCAAGATTAGAGTTCAAATCCCACTGGTGATGATATTTGAATAATAGTCTATACTATGGTTTACAGTTGTCGATTATCAGTTAGATATAGATAAATCTGTAATCTCGGTCACACTATCTAGTTATGGAAGCTTTGGTACAATAAATCTGAGGAACTGGAATAACTGAAAACCCATTTGGCAAGTCCCGAATTTGAAAGTAACATTGATCTTTGATGGTACCACAGAAGGGCTGAATTCAAACCAGGGTCTGAGATTGAAGAACTGAGCGATCAGGTTTGCTGGTGGAGGACATACTAGCTGAACCGCCGGGTTGTCGCACTAGAGGAAAAGGGCATACACTCCGAAAGTATGAACCAAGGGGAGGACATCCTTCAGGTACCTAAAGCCTGGGCAAACTAACCCTTCCGAGTTGCTAGCTAGAAGTAAGGGAGAGACCAGTAGAGAATCCAGGTAAGAAGATGATCCAAATGTAGATATCAGAGTTGTTGTAAACCAAATAAGGGCAAGGAGTACGTAATAGGCGCCTAGTTAGAAAGGTTGGTACTTGAAAAACTATAGAAACATGCAGATGAATATATGTATAGAACATGTACTGCTCTGTTAGGTTTACCTCAAGGATAGATTAGCTAGAAATAGTTGGTAATAGAGGCCTGTATTGGGTCCCAAAGCCTGGCCTGGTGTGTGGGCTTAAAAAAAATTTTTATAATTGTGGACTGGGCCAGGCTGAAATTTTAAAAAAAATTTATATTAAAAATTTGCGGGCTGGGCCAAAACAGGCCAGGTTTGGCAAAAAATTTTTAATTGCGGGCAGGCCCAGGCCAGCAAAAAATTTGTAACTCTAATTGCAGACTGGGCCTGGGCTTTAAAATTAGGAATTTGCAAACCTCTAGTTGGCAAGTCCTAAGGCAGTTAGTATATCCTCTGCCAGGATAATGCAAAATCTATATATAAATGGTAAGTAAGCCCAGGGTTAGTT